TGTCCTATCCTATCCTATCCTATCCTATCCTATCCTATCCTATCCTATCCTATCCTATCCTATCCTATCCTATCCTATCCTATCCTATCTATAATGTTGCTTGCACAAATTGCCAGAGGATTGTCAGTTAACGTTGGCTAGTTAGTTCCCTCAGTAGTGCTATAATATTTTAATTGCTCTTCCTCAGAGGTTCATGACCAATAGGGAAATTGATCACTAGTTGTCAAAAATCAAGTAATTGTTAATGTCAAGATAAATCTATTGAATCTGCAAGGATATCTGGGAGAATTTATTTATTTATTTGTATCTTAATAACTTGTTAGCAAACATATCAAATTCACATTTTTCCCATTTCCTCACAACAACCATGTGAGGTGATATGGTCTGAGAGAAAGTAACTGGCCAAAGTTATCCAGTTGACTTTCATGGCTAATTCATGGTCTCCTGCTTTTTAGCCTGGTTATTACCAAATAACCTCATTTTTTAAGTGCAGTTCTAATTCTACATTGTTCTGCTTTTATTTAACAATTTTTATAACAAAGATTTTTCTTTATATTTTCAGAGCTCGCACCGAAATCAGTGGAAGAATTGCCTCCTCTCCCCAGAATAGACAAATACAAGCTCGCAAGATTTTTAGCAGATAAAGCCATCAGGGTATATTTAATAGCAATATTTTTAAAATAGTATTTGTATTGTAGCATGTCTATCTAATAATTGGAATTAAACAATTTAAAAATATTCTACAAACATATTTAAAAATAGCACACTGAATAAGAAAAAAAAGGGAAAATATTGCTTTGAAAAAATAGAGATAAAAATGAAAATAGGGTTGGTATCTGTTTAAAAATACAGCTGCATAATTCTTCGCACTAAGTTTCATGTCTATATTTTTTCATTCTTCTAAAAGGTTCTTAAAATCTGGGATGATGTCAATATATTCTTCAGTAACTTTAAAGTGCTTTGAAAAGGAATTTTCCGTGTATTTTTCCAAGTTTTCAGATCTGTCAAAAATCTGCAATTAAGTCAGAGATAACAATGGGAGAAAAATAATATCTGTACATCTATTGTAGAATGGTTTGATACAACTGTTGTTCAAAGTTCTTTAAAAAAAGGGGAAACATTTCTCAAATTAAGTTTTTGCTCTGGCCTACTATTTGGCTTGATAAGTTATCCAAATCCAATGGAGCCTTCAGCCAATTGAAAACAACATTAATTTGCTTGGAAACATTGAGGGCAATTCATTGATGGCAAAGAACTTGCACAGCATGGTAAAAGGGGTTAACATGACAGCCATGATACTACAATCAAAGCTTCATAGTTTTTTATGTGCACTGCTGTTTAATTTTGGGAGAGACCTTTAAAAAAATAACTAAAGATAAAGATGAAGAACACACCATTGCAGGCGTTTTGTTGACTATTGCTTTATGTGATCATCAGCTCTGAAACCCCTTTATGATTTCAGGAAAGGAGAATTTTTACCATCTGTGGTCCTTACCCAGTTATTCGCTCTTGTTTAAGAAAGAGAGGATGGGTGGAAAGAAAGCATATTCTTAAATTTGACATTCATGACCATAAAGATGAAGGGCATGAAGCTGAATGTGACAACAGTGTTAAAAATGGTAACATATTTTAACTATGTTTTTTTCTTGCATTTTATTTGCTTAGAAATACATAATAATTGGCTTGAATTTGTGAAACATATTCATATATCAATATGTTTTTCGACTCTTCTTTCGGGATTGGTAAACTTTAATGCAGATAGGTGTCATGGATGTGTGAATTATTTGAGATTTATATTATGTCCATATACTTTTTCAGATGCATTTCCCTCTCTGCCCTAAGAAGCCAATAATTGCTAGTTTCTCATTTAGTAATCTCCCTTGATGATAACTTTACCTACTGTCAGGTTACAAAATGCTCACAATTATTCTAATTGGCGAAGAGGGAGAAGTACCAGTCAGGGAATGTTGTGAATAAGTGCAGCTGTTGGAAATAAATAGTTGGTTAAGATCAACTTAACCTAAGGGCAATTCATTTTGTATGCTGTTAGTGGAAATGTTTATTTTTAACCATTTAGTCCTGTATTGACTCTTGGTGACTTTATAGGAAAGTGTTTTCTATGCTATCCTATCAAGCACAACTTCTTTCAATTGTTGTATATTCACTTTTCCATCATATTTGGTGTTGTTAACCCAGCATGTTCTTTGCTTGCCCTTATTCTTTGTCCACTAAACATACCTAGCATCATTGCCTTCTCCAATGAATACACATGCATAACCTAGCTAAAGTAACTCAGATACAGTCTTGTGATTTTAGCTTCTAGGGATGTGTCTCGTTTTATATGATTTAACACCTCTCTATTAGTTATTGGTTACTCTCGCTGTCCATAGTATAGACAATAATTTGCAGCAGCAGCAGAATTCAAAATAGTGGAAATGCCTTTTATATTTTCCTTTAAATGAATTCTACTTAATTATTAGAGTATTTCAACTGTTTTGCAATATCTAGGTTGCAAAAATTTAGACAATTAGGTTCAGCAGCTGGATTCACATTTGCTCCATCTCTTTGCTTCCATTGTTGGCTGCAAATATCTAGGAAATTTGATTCTCTTCTGCTCATGTTAAAGCATGTAATATTAATTTTTTATTTTGAAGTTAATGACTGTAAATGACATTGGTTTAAAATATAAAAGTAAATCTGGACATTAGAAAAAATGGTGTTGTGGGGGACTGTCAAAATTCTGATTATTCTATCTCATGATTTGATTTTTCTAATAACATTTTTTGGAAATAAATGTTTGAAGTAAGGCTTCCAAATGTTGGAAGAAATATTCATAGTTGGGATATAGCTTTCAGAACATTAAAAACATTTAACATATACTTCAATGTTCTATTATAGGCTAACCTTATTTGAATCTTATAGAATTTTTAATTCAGGGCAATAATGTATTTTCAATACACTTTGCTGCAGCCTATTTAGCTTTTTGTATTTTCTTTTTAAGAAAAAAAGACAGTATTGCATGAAGAAGAAAGTTTAAACAATTCAAATGACATCCATGATATAATGGTAAGATTATAGAGATAATCATATTATTGTATGTTCTAGTTTTTAAAAAAATATTTTTGTGAAGTTGATTCTCTTCTCCAAGTTCCCTATTATTTACTTTTGTATTCTCTTTGAATGCTATATTATAAACTAATAAAAAATTGAATGGAAAGTTTATTTTCAGTGAGGGTGGAGGGAGAAACAGGGACCCACCTATTGTGGAGAGAGTAGTATATTCACCAGAATATCCTGCTGGATTACCCTAAAATGCAACTACTTACTCTGCAGTTCTAGAGGAAATTCTAGCAAGTAACTGGACAGAATTTTCTCTGTAGTATGATCTGAAGTGAGAGTTCATTGGGTCAGCTTGAAAGACTCACAAAAGTTCACCTATGTCATAGGAACACAGGTTTGGCACAGTTTATGCATGTGAAAGGGACAACTGATTACTTTTTATGAATGTATTCACCCTTTGATGATTAAAGAGGGTTATAAATTTAACAAAGAAATAAACAAGTTATTCTTAGATTGATAATAATTTTGGCAGCCTAAGAATCAATATGCTTTGACTTGAAGTCCAAGCTCTGACTCTAATTCTGATTTCAATCTAGATCACCATAAATTCCCCACTTTCCATGTAGTTTTTCTTGTAATATGAATTCCTCTTCCCATCAATCTTCCATGCTTTATTGTTCTGTGCAACTATAGCATTGGATCCTCGTGGAACTTCTTATTTCTTAGTTGCAGCACAAACAAGAATTCCTATAAAATGAAATGAAGGCTTTGCTTCAATTTGTTCAATTTAGGGATGGGTTATCAAAGAGTATTGGATGAAGTGGATAATGTTTTCCATGTGGAAACATAACAGAGTCTTCTTTGGGCCAGTCTAGATTGGTAAGAAATGAAGAAACTTCTTTTTATTGGACTACTAAAAAGGATGCAGTTGATTACTACACCCTCCATATTGATCAGATATTGAACCATTATTCGAGAACTGGCTCTTTTACAACCAAAGTAAGTATGTAAATATTGAAAAGGATAACATATTAGTAAATATTTAACACATGCATTTAGCTTAGTAAGGTTGACTCATTTGACTCAGAGCAATAAATTAAATTAAATCTTAATTGATGGAATATTAAAATAGAGCAGGGGTGCCAAACTCAATTTCATTGAGAGCCACATCAGGGTTGTGTTTGACCTTGGGGAGATGGGGTGGATGTGGCCAGGGTGGGTGTGGCCAGCTCAACATCACTTGTGTCTGCACTTTGGTTGCTTGAGCATTCTGCCAGTGAAAACAGGCTCCCGAACTCCGTTTTTGGTTGCAACGGCCTCCTGCAATCTTCTGCCAGTGAAAACAGAGCTCGGGAGCCATAGACTACTAAACTAAACAGACTACATAGTCTATGGAGCCATAGATACCAAAATGATATACAAATTAGTGTGACAGTATCATGGGAACTGAAAATAACCATGTAGAGGAGGAGACTCAACATTATGTGAAGAATTAGTATTGCTTTATAAAAGCTTAGTAAGACCACATCTGTAATACTTTATCATGTTTTGGTCACCAATCAGTATAAAAAAGATGTTGAGACCTTGGAAAGCATGCAGAAAAGAGCAACAAAGATAATTAGGAGTCTGGAGACTAAAACATAAGAAGAACCATTGCAGGAATTGGGTATGATTAGTCTAGAGCAGTGTTTCTCAACCTTGGCTACTTTAAGTCCTGTGGACTTCAACTCCCAGAATTCCCCAGGCTGCAATTGCTGGCTGGGGAATTCTGGGAGTTGAAGTCCACACGACTTAAACTCACCAAGGTTGAGAAACACTGATATAGAAAAGGACTGACATGATAGCAGTGGTCCAATATCTGAGGGGCTGCCACAAAGAAAGGTAGTCAACTTATTTTCCACAAAAAATATATATTTGCCACAAAGAAGAGGTAGTCAACTTATTTTCCAAAGCACCAGAAGGTAAGAAAAGAAACAATGGAAACTAATGGATGGAAACAAATCAAGGA